AACAAAAAGTGGTTTCGCCAGTGCCATACTAAAATTCTGAAATTTCATTTCTTATCTTTAATTCACCAACTGAGAATATCCCTGCGGCTGTTCTATAAACACCATTCGTTAATTTCCATTAATTCCGTTGGAAGTATTAGCCGCAATTATTACCATACTCCGGCTCACAAAAGCGTGGAGTTAATTAATTGCCTGCACGGGGATAAATTTCAAACTGATTAGCAGGATGGAAAGGGAAATCGGCCTGAAAAATTCAATTAAAAAATATTCTGAAACTCTTGAACAGGACGCGGAACGCGCATAATTCCAAACGCAATATTCCTCGTCTCTTTTTACCATTTTTACCCTCTGTGTTTCTCTCTCTCTCTCCCTCTCTCTGTGCGCCATCACGGGACGAAATGGCAAGCTACAGCTTCTCTGACGTACAAAGAATACGTAATCTGGGTTAACAAAGTTGGCCGGATATCTGGAATGAAATTATTTTAATATCGTGCGCCGCCTCTTGAACGAACCGCGTCAAGCTTTGAAAATAGTTTGAAACTGGTAGGAGGGGGAAACTTTGCAAAAAGGGCCTCGCTTTTTGTGGTTTTTTCTGAGACGGGCTATGGAATTGGAAAAATAACTGTAAAGAATAATCGTTGTATACTTAAAAATGAAAAATGAATATTTGCATAATCTTGGAATTTGTGCTTTGCAAATATAATATGTATATGTAATAGTAGAGTCGTGGGTTGCTGAAAAGTTTGCTATTGATAGGTGTAGTCTTCATTCCAGTTTCTTTCTCAGAAGGCTCAAAGCGTTGATTCTGAGCTTGATTTGACTTATGACATTACCTCCGAAGTTTAATTGCGGGTTTGACTAACTTGCAACTATAATTCTGAAGGATTGAGAACTCTAAATTTCAGTTCGATCAGTTAATAACTTCAAGTTTATGTTAAATATATAATTCTAACCGTAAGTCTGACTCACAATCCCAATCATTAGCTTGAGTGACTTACAACCCTAACTTTGTGTCTGACTGACTTACAATTCTAACCCTCAGAAGTTTAATTGTGAGTTTAGCTTGCAACTATAATTCTGAAGGATTGAGAACAGTAAATCGCAGTTTGATCAGTTAATAACTTCAAGTTCGAGTCAAATATATAATTCTAACCGTAAGTCTGACTCACAATCCCAATCATGAGCTTGAGTGACTCACAACCCTAACTTTGTGTCTAACTGACTTACAATTCTAACCATGACTATAATATTAAATTTGACTGATGCATTAATGATCACTTGATTGGCTAATAAGAATTAAACCCGTCCTAATCATTTACAGTTATTCATACATATTCTTCCTGCTTTTATTTGTTTATCCTTCACTTAATATATTTTTAATATATTCTTATTCCTAAGAAAAGTTGGAACACATTTATTTTAAGCTTTACGTCTGCATTCTACACTATAATTATTGCACACATTTGCACAATTTATTCTTCTGACTCAAATATGTCACAATAAAACCACAAATTTGGCTCTATGCACCAATAGTCTCTAGGTCTTCCACAAATTTTCAATTGGCTGTTGAAGTCTTCTATTTTCATCTTATGAAACATCAGAATAAATTTTAGTGCCCAATTATTACTAACTAGAATCATTCATAACGAATGGCATTCTTCACTTTATTCATGAAAAATATTTATGAAAGCGTTGCACTGGAAATTCGTATGAAAATTTCAACAAATTTATATTCACTGTAAAACTGTGCATAGAATCCTCTACAGAAATATTAACTTCAATAACTACACGATATTAACAGAGAAGCTTATGTGAGTCCTGAAATCCCGAATATACACTTGCAATCCAAGCTACGTCACAACAGTGGCACCTCTACGAGCTCGATCTCAATGAAAGGTCGTTGGGTTGTTAACAAACAAGCCAAAAGGAATTCCTACGATAGGAATTCCTTTCCAAGAATTGCCCCAAATACCACGTGGCCTAAAGCCAACATCGCCTCGATCGGCGCCTAATCGTCTCAAATAGAGGCACGAGTTGGTTAAAGGATGGCCAGAGAGGCGAATCGACGCCAGAGGTCTAACTGAACGCAGGCAAGCCGGTAATTATGTATGAAATTCATTAGCCCGTGTAAATATGGCCGGCGGAGAGATATAGCGAAGCGTGTACACGCGTGCATGTTGCAACAATGCACACGCAGGTCAAACATCGTGGCCTCGTCGACGGGTTTGCTCTGGCTACGCCTATGCGGAGTCGAACGTGCATACGTAATTAGGCCGCGTCTTTCCAGCCCTGCAACTGCATTAAGTGAGCTCTGCCGCTGTTATTAATGGGGATGAAACGCGCCGAAAGGGCCAGCTTCCGGTGGTTATCGTTATCCGCGCCCTGGTTCTATTCTTGCGTGGATAATTATAGAAACAATAATTTTAGTTGGCCTGTAACGGTACGTCAGTGTTTGATGTACAACGTAGGTTTGAGATGTTCGAATTTGTTACGCGAGATAAAGTTCAAATTATTTCTCGTATTCTGAATTGCTGGTTAGGTTAGGTTCGTGGTATTGGGATACTTTGTGAAGATATTGTTCTATGCTTTATGGCAGGCGATAGTTTGTTTTAAATAGTTTGTGATATTCGTCTTCATTGGGTTTTTAGTGGGTTTGAGGTTAAGTTTGATATGCTGAGGTATTTGGTAGAGATATTGTTTTATGTTTTATATTTTATAGAAACTAGTAGGCTGTTTCAAGTAGATTATAATGTTGGTTCATAGTGAGTATGGGTTGGGTTCATGATGTTTTATATTTTATAGAAACTAGTAGGCTGTTTCAAGTAGATTATAATGTTGGTTCATAGTGAGTATGGGTTGGGTTCACGATGTTTTATATTTTATGAAAAGTGATAGGCTACTTCAAATAGTTTGTGATGTTAATTTTTATTTTATTTGGTTTGTAGTGTGTATGAGGTTAGGTTTGATATGTTCAGTTATTTGGTATAGACTTTGTTTGACGTTTCATGTTTTGTGAAAGATGACAGGTTGTTTCAAATAGTTTGTGATGTTCGTTTTTATTTTATTGGGTTTATAGTGGATATGAGGTTAAGTCTGATATGTTAAGGTATTTGGTAGAGATATTGTTTTATGTTTTGTATTTTATAGAAACTAGTAGGCTGTTTCAAGTAGATTATAATGTTGGTTGATAGTGAGTATGGGTTGGGTTCATGATGTTTTATATTTTATGAAAAGTGATAGGCTACTTCAAATAGTTTGTGATGTTAGTTTTTATTTTATTGGGTTTGTAGTGTGTATGAGGTTAGGTTTGATATGTTCAGTTATTTGGTATAGACTTTGTTTGACGTTTCATGTTTTGTGAAAGATGACAGGTTGTTTCAAATAGTTTGTGATGTTCGTTTTTATTTTATTGGGTTTATAGTGGATATGAGGTTAAGTCTGATATGTTAAGGTATTTGGTAGAGATATTGTTTTATGTTTTGTATTTTATAGAAACTAGTAGGCTGTTTCAAGTAGATTGTAATGTTGGTTGATAGTGAGTATGGGTTGGGTTCATGATGTTTTATATTTTATGAAAAGTGATAGGCTGCTTCAAATAGTTTGTGATGTTGGTTTTTATTTTATTAGGTTTGTAATATGTATGAGGTTAGGTTTGATATATTCAATTATTTAGTATAGACTTTGTTTGACGTTTCATGTTTTATGAAAGATAATAGGCTGTTTCAAATAGATTATAATGTTGGTTGGTAGTGAGTATGAGGTTAGATTTATGATGTTGGGATAATAGGTAAAAATATTGTTTCATGGAAGGTAATTAGATTGTTTTAAATAGTTTTCAATGTTGATTTTTATTAGAAAACTATTTTAAATCTACCTGAAATTTCTTTACATAAAGTCTCTCTTCTCTATATTCTATATATAATTTTTAAAGCCTTAATTTAAGTCGTCCAACTTCCTGCAATTTTCATTATTTATAATTTTTATAAAACACGAAATTGGAAATATAAAATATATAAAGAATATAACTGTGGTAGGGGGATAACACTGAATGGCCTTGAACAAACGATTGATTTCAAACGGACTGTATAGCGCCCAGATACACCAGGAGATATTCTTGTTGTGGAGATTCCGGTTTGGCGATTCGTTTGCGGTAGAAAGTGAAGGATAAACGCGAGGGAGGCGATGTGGTTTCGGTCGTATCATTTCGGTGGGAGATCGGTCCCCTTTGGGGGTGAGGGCTGGCTGGATTTTGTGTTTTGTGGTAATTCGAATAGGGGATGGAGGGATCTAATTAGTGTAATTGGTGGATGCTGGCGAAGTCCAGCAGCGCAGGGAGTTAGTTATACAATTACACGAAGTGTGGGCTACGATTATGGCGATAAATGTGTCTTTGAAGTTTCTCAGTAACACGACTAAAATTTATCTCTTGGCACTCGAAATTGATTTTGTTACGAGTAATTTCGACCTGTCTTTGAGCCTCGGAACAAGAATAATAATTATTTTACAAAATTATATTTATAAATGTATATAAATACCGTCACAAATTAAATTTTATTTTTCTTATCATTTTGAGAATTTTATCCCGTTACTAAATTTATATAATACAAACGAATAAATTTGTGGATATTTTTAATTAAGTATCTGTTAATCATTATAAAAATTGATGGAACACGTTTTATGGTAAATAACATGAGCAAAAATATTGCAATAACTATATCGTATTAATTAATACAAGTATAATAAAGCAAGAATCATAACTATTATATATTATAATTATTAAGTAAAAGATGGTACCCGATTATTTCAAGACTATATTGGCTATTTATTTTCCATCAGTGTAATGTAAATATTTTCTAATGTCCAATGCATCCATTAAAGACCTTCTATTCTTTTATTTTTAATGTAAACATTAAGCTATTTATTTAAGATTTAATATTCCATTTAATAATAACATTTTAAAAATATAAAAATAATATTTTTGTTATTTATTTTCGTTGCAGTCTCTGGAGGGTCAAAACATCTATAATTCCTGTTGCACGCTGCGCATCGACTATAGCAAGATGCAAAATTTGAACGTGAAGTACAACAACGATAAGTCGAGGGACTACACCAACCCATCTCTACCAACTGGCGACGCGAATTTGGACGCGGCATCTCTTGCTTTGGGTGGTGAGCTTCTTCCACAATTGTTGATGGGTGCTGGATCGCAGCCTCGTGCAAGAATACCCGGTGAGAACCGTGAATTTTCACAAGTTTTCATGAAAATGATTAAAAAAAAGACAGTCCATGGATGCACTGTTTGAAATAATTTGTAATCTTACAAAGAAATGAGAAAATGGTAAATTGCATTGACTTGTTTAAAAGGAATTCTCTTCGGACATTGTTGTCATTTTGAACAGTGTGTTTTTAGTTTTTTTCTGCTTTTATTTATATTGAAATAAGCTAACCTTTTTATTATTTCCATGTTAAATTCTTTTTGTCGTCATAATTCAGAAAAATTCAATTGATCGAGTATTTTTGTGTTTCATTTTTATATTAATTATTCTACTCAAGATAAAACTGGTTATATAAATTATTAATATAATATTTTATGAGTTTTAAAAAGCAAAGGATCTCAAAGTGATGAAAATTTAAAAATTCAGGCTGCTCTGAACTCAAATAAGAAATTAATAAATTAGAGACACGCAGCAATGGATATTATATGACAAATAACATTGTTTATTCAACGTCTCTGTATTTATTTGTCCTTTTTTTAGATTACATTCCGCCCAGGGCCATTCAATTTTTACAAATGCATATAATATTAAAATTACAGATTGTCAAAACTGCAAATTATTAAAATACTAAAATGATGTTAAAATTCTACAATAATAAATGAGAATCAGGTTTTAGCCAGAAAGTAATTGAAGTACACTTAGTATATATTTATATCTCGAATTATGGTGTATTCTGAAGTGAGATTATAGCCTTGAAAAGTTTGATTACATATAATACTCTGTGTATCAAACCAAATCGATCAAAGTCATCTTCAAAAAAATACACATTTCGTTCCATACATCCCATATAGGGAATGATCTGCACGCTATAATACTCAAAGACTATGCCGCCAGATAAACATCGCAGCAAGAACGCCATTTGTTTGATTTGTCACACTATCCTTATCATAATTTAATAGGCTGATGCTGCTGTTTTGCTGAAGTGGAAATGATCATTTTCGTTTCCTCAGTATTTTCATTTAAAATATATAACTATAGTAACAAAAAAATGTATATTAATAAGTATATTAATATAATAAAGCTCATAATACGATGTTCCCATGACAATGTCTTTCTGGCTCAGGTTAGCTTTATTTTTATCTTTCAGCTTATCTTTCAGTACACTAACTCGAGATCACCCGGTACACCACCCCATACATCCTTGTAAAATCGTCGCATGACATCGATCATCGAGAAAAACCATAAAAATCGATCGATCAATTAGCCCTGTATTTCCAGAAGGGTTCGGTCCATCAGAATTAATTGTATTAATAGAAATGGCGAGTCAGTCTCTGTCACCCCGCAATCCGACGATTTATGATAAATTGTTATATCACCAATTGGCTGGGCCACTTCCAATTTGCCGCTCGTTTTCAGCTTCATTTTCGTGCTGGATCGAATTGCGTGCGGTCAGACGGTATTATTTCCTCGGGTACATTAATTAATTACGCTGCAACGCCAGGGCTGATCGATGTAGGCAGACGTTTCGATTTCCTACTCTCGATCCACTTACTTTTACAGTTGGATCTTTTTTATTTATCTATTTCCTTTTATACTAAAAATTCGGTAAAAATGAAAACGGTTTTAATAATATTAATTTAATTTATTGGAAGTATTTTGAAAATTTTTAAATTTAAGATCATCCTGCGAGATCACTTTGAGATTCTTGAATCTTATTTCAGTAAGGAGAAAAAGGACAGAGTATATAATAATTTTAAATAGTTGATGTTATAATTCATAAGAAAGTCTGGTAACATAATCATGACAAAACTTGTTAAAATGGGTTCGAAACTATAACAGTTTTACTTCTTGAGTTTATTTCTGTAAAACTATATTTTATTACAGAAAACCAAGTGCAGATAATCCTTCTTATTCTAGCTGAGTCAAGTGTGAAAATAATTTTCTAGTTTAAAAGATTGTGAAAGTTTAAAGGTTTACAAAGTCAAAGGATTCTCTGTAATATTTTCCGTAGAGCCCCAAGAATATAATAAAGAAAGAGAAACATAATTGGCGAAATAATCGACTCATAGATCCAATAAAATTCACAAACCCAAAATTTGGATACTATTAAAATTCATTCTCTCCACTCCCATTAAATAAATGCATATACAGAAAAATGACGTATTAAAAATCGTATCTGAACATAATAAATACAAATTTCTTTTATGATAGATGCTCACAATAGCTTAGATTATTATTCATAAAAAAAGCAAAATAAAAATTAATATTAAGCAACCCAAATTAATATTAATTAATTACATAATAAATAACATAATAAATACAAATTTCTTTTATAATAGTTGCCTACAATAGCTTAGATCATTATTCAGAAAAAAACAAAGTAAAAATTAGTATTAAGCAACCCAAATAAATATCATCTGTAATTCATCTGTAAACTTCGACAAATTAAAGCAGAGCTTTAAATAAAATTCCTTGTATCTCTTTAATGCAGTAATACATTATTCACAATGAAAAATGAAACTAGAATACTATTTTTAAATTTATAGATTGTATTTTCCATTTGCTCTGGAGCTATAGCTTCATTCGATTCTGCCTCGCGTGCCCTTGCATTCCCCCACTCGAGTCGATTCTTTCGCCATGCTCCCCACCACTGGTCCACCGCGCGCCCCGACACGAACCTTCCAGTTAGAGAAACGGTGCTAACTATAGCTTGTAAATTTCCTGAAGTAGAGTCCATTGCAGGGGCACCGGGTGTGCTGCCCACGCCCTTTGCGGCCATGCATGGTTTGCCTTCGCCCCTGGCGGGCCCATATAACGGGGTCCCACCTGCTGGCGGATTGGTCGGCCTAGGTGGTTTCCCTTTGGGTGCAGCTGGCCTTGGGGTGCGCGGGCCTACCAATGCGCAAACCTCTGCGGTGCTGCTCGTCAGTAATCTGAACGAAGAGGTGAGTGATCTGGATTGATGCTTGATGGAATTGTGTGACGTAGTCGAGGACACGATGATCCAGAATAGAGGCACGAAGAAAAATAATTCGTTGATGGAACATATGCTTTTAATATTATTCAGGATTATTTTTGTATTTATTACCATTTGTAATTTTTAAAAAATACTAATCGCGAATAAAAATTAATTCGTTTTTTTTTTTAGAAGAGCTTGAACTTTATGTGAAATGAAGCAAATTTTTGTTTTGAGATAGGAATAATGTGTGACTTAAAATAATATTTTAAGTATCAAATTACATAATTTGGAAAAAGGAAAGAATTATACGTTTTATTTTGAACAATTAGAAATTTTGAAATTAGGTATAGCTAGACTGATAGAATATTTCGGATTCGATAATTATTGGCTAAATTTTCGATTTAAATTAGAGAAATTCTTTTGTATCTTTGTTACTGATTTTAATTTTCTGTTGATTTTTTTCTGCGAAATATTGCTGAATTAATTACGTGAAATTTTTCTTCGTGCCTTTCCAACGAAACAACACTAAAGTGTACAGAACGTAATCATACGTCACGATCGAAGTCAACATTAATTAAGTACGTAAATTGTGATCGACGTACTGTACGCTTTCGATTAGGATAATTTTCCATTAACGCTGAGAGAAATGGACCGCTAAATTCCTCTGCAAATTGCAATATCTATCTGTATTTGCTCGAATAATTCCTCGATACATCAATTTTTAACCACGGAGAAATTTTCATTCATTTTCCACATTGTTTCAAAAAATACTCTCAATTTTTCATTTTATTGTATAATAAATTATAATAAAATTATAATCAAATGTTTTAATAAAAGTTATTAAAAATAACAATGAAGGCAATCATTTACAGGAAATATAAAGTCAAAAAATTGTTTTAGTGAATATTTAAAAATATTTTTTTTCATATTCGTTTCTCTCAGCGTCTGCTTATATACACGAAACTGACTTAGGTACGTACGTATCCACTAAAAATTCACCTAAATACAACGATATGACTATAATGTAGTGCTACGTAGGCAACCCTAGCAGTTTCTCCATCCCTCGATTAGAATTTTCCTCGTCGAACATTTCTCAATTCATCTTTAAACACAATCTTGATAAATTTTGTAGAAATTTTTGTATTAAATTATGCAAAAAGAAATATATTTTCGAGTAATTTCTCGTTTTTTATTTCTAAATTGAGTATTTCGTTCGACAAGCAAAAAAATCGAGATCTCGATGCGTATGTGCCCTCTTTACGTCACAATCCTTTCTTATCTTACCCTCTACCCCCACTACCCCTCATATTTTCGAAACACATATATAGAAATCGTTCCGAACGTCATCATCCTCTGTCCTAAGTAATTCGTAGCGTTGTTAACCACGACGTTACTTCCGGCGAGGCGTTTTTCGTTTCTCAAGGGTCCCTGGACCCCAGGAAAATTTTCGGAATTTTGTACCTAATTTTTTGGAGGATATTAAGAAACACTCCAAACGAGAATAAATTTGAACGAATTCTAGAAGTATAAATATTTTGAGCTAGATATGGCAAATTTGAGAATTAAAAAAGATGTTCCAGTATTTCTTATATACTTCTTTATAATTTCAAAAATTGATTTAAAATTCGCGTGAATGATAAAAACGACAATGATAGAGAAAAATGTAGTAAAATTTTGAAAATAAGAAGCTATGTGTACAGTGAAAATAATTATTTGAAGAGGATCAAAATTTCTATTGTACCATAGTTTCTTCATCCAAAACCATTTCTTCAGTGTTCACCATCATTCTGTATGCTAATAATGCTCTACTACTTCCACTCTTCATATACTCTTCATAAAAATTGCCTGTTCTCATACTACTCGCTATTTTCTGAATTTCTCTCGACTCGGCTGAAGATGAATAAAATTTCTCGATTTCACGACGAGTTAACAATGTTCTGCGATTAAAGTACGTTTAACCACGTGGAAACGAAAGGCGCCTCACGACGAAACTGTGTGTCGACGTCACACTTCGCAGCTGCAACTATTGTCACTACTGTACTATAACTATGTGTACTACTATCGTTGCGCCGCGCGCACAAGCTTCCAACCGAGTGTCTTTTTCCTCTGGCGAGCAAACGATCAAGTGTTTTTTTCTTTCTCTGTCCCCCCCCCCCCTCTCTCTTTTATATATATATGCATATATCTATATACGTATTGTCACGATATTCTCTTTTTAAATATCTACTGTCTTTTTTCTTTTTTTTTTCAACCCCTCGCGAGATCACTATATCGATGAACGACAAGAACCGCGAGGGATTCATATTGACGAGAAGGTCCCGCTGTTTCTATGCTTCTCTAAGTCTCTCTGTCTCTCTCTCTGTTCTCTACTGTTCTTCCCTCTCTCGATCGCGGCCGCAGGAAAATCGACCGGGTGAAAAAGTTCCAGTCCTTTCGCTGACTTTCGTTTGGATTTGACTTTTGTGAACTGTAGTCACTGTGGTACGATTTTTTCAGCAATTTTATATATATATTTTTTTCTTTTTTTGTGGGGAAAAAATTTGTTTGGAAAATTTTTAGAGTCGTTGCAATTTGGATAAAAGATTCTTTGAATTATACGTATTTATTTATTTATTTTTCTTTTTTCGTAATTAGAAAACATATATTGAATAAAATTTTGATTTAATTAGAGATTTCTTCCTATTTTGATACAAATTTTTCTTCTTTAGAAAATTTTATGTACATTTTAATGGAATAGGTGAAAATTAATTTTGGTTATTATTAAATTGGGTAAAACATGGATTCGATGGAAATCAAATTGGGCAAAAATTAGGTGCAGTAAAATAAAATTCGAATTCGCTAAGAATTGGTTTTAATGAAAAATAATTTCTTGAAAATTCTAGTTTATTAAAGATTGGTTTCAGTCAGCATAATCAATTTTAATAATTGATGAATTGTATTTATTAATTTTGATGAATTCGCACTTTGCTGTTTAACAATTCTAGTCGTGTCAAGTAAAATTTAAATCGAATCAAATTTCAGTTACAAAAAATTTGTACGCAAATAAATATTCATTTCGGTAAAAATTAAATTTCAAAAAATCGATTTACGGGAGATTCGAGTTTAATGAAAATCAATTTCTGCGAAACAATCAGATTCGGTAAAATCAAATTATCTGTATGTCGATTCAAATAATTTCCAAAAATTCTGAAAAATGAAATGTTTTATGAAATATTTAGAAAATGAAAATGACTTGCCCAAGTTGCTTCGAAAATAAGATAATTTATCACAGTGATCCGGTTTAAACGATATTTTTTGCACGAAAGTGAGTAAATGGCCTGGAATGACCATAAGGTCTGTAAAAGGCCCATACTCGAGGAGCCTGTACTCGAGTCCGGCGAAACTTGTGCGCGTACCAACACTATACATTGAATCCTATTATACTCGCTGACTACTGACTGGACTCTGTCTGTTCTCTGTGTAGATGGTCACGCCTGACGCTCTCTTTACCCTGTTTGGTACGTCTCCACATTTATATTATTAATTATATTACATTATTAATTATTATATTTACACGCGCGGGACACACTGACACACACGCACACACAAGTATACTCCACATACAGAGACATTTCTAAGACGTGTTTTTATATGGATCAGTAGTAACTGTGAGCATTTTTGGAGAGTGAAAAAGAAAAGAAATAATGAAAATGTTAATCATTTTTCTGTGTCTATTTTTTTGTTTATTTATTTATTTTTTTTTTTTGTATATTTTGTCTGTGATACATGGAAACACGAACAGGATATATGTAAAAATTTGTTATATATATATAGTCTGTGTCATCGATCGTACGTCATGATTTTCTTATTGGTTTTTGATTTTATTTCATTTTATTTATTTATTTATTTTTTTTTCTTATTTTGAAAAGATATTTTTGTGGAAGATTTAAATCATTAATCACTCTCCTCGTCACGTGTACGTATGATTTTTATTTTTTTTTCTTTCCCTTATCGTTTATTTATTTTTTTTATTTTTACTTACCTCTGTGAATTTCTTGTTATTATTATTTATATTTTATCGTCTCTTGCGATTTCAGCTATGATTTATCATTTTATTTTATTTTTTTAATTCGCTATAACTGTTCTTATTCGCAATTTCATTCATCGAATTCACCTACCGTCCATGATCATTGTTTGAACTCATCATCGGCCGTCAGCGACACCGTTTTTTTCACGTTCTCTATTTCCAAGCATCTCTTCTAAATTGTTTCATTAATATTTTATTAATATCAGTTCCAGACACCTTAATATTACATAAGCTTTCGCTTATTTTACGTAATATCTCCATAGGAGCTCACTTTTCGCGGGCTAAACGGTTCAGCCATTTTCTGTCTCGCCAAAAACCTTCAAAATTCGACGAAAAATCATTTCCATCCCTTTTAACTCTAATTCGAAATAAAAAAAGAAAATTTTTCTTTGCCTAAGGACGAAAGGAAGAAACTCTTCGTTACAGAAAGCAATAATATGTTTCTCAAGTATAATTATTGCGAGAAGTTAATTTTAATTCGATTAATTACATTGGAATTAATTATAAATTAAATCAGAGATATGTGTTTGACCTTCTTTTTTAATTTCAATTCTTGGCTGAACCGATTGCCTAATTGCATGTCCCAGATCTTAGTCCGATCGTACCCCGATTACTCGATCGATTATTATTATCGATTATTACTATTATTATTATTATTATCGTCCTGTTTTGTCTTCGACTCGATAATCCTTAGACACCCGTGAATTCTTGTGGATACTGGGCTTATTAAATTGATTTATTGCGTGTTGTGCGTGTAGGCGTTTACGGGGATGTACAGCGCGTGAAGATACTCTACAACAAGAAGGACTCGGCATTGATTCAGATGGCCGAACCCCATCAAGCGCATTTAGGTAATTCTTTTTCTTTTTTAATAATTTCTCGGTAATTTAACAATGGCAATTTGGTCGTAAATTTTAGAATTATTTAAAATTTGGAATAGTAAAGATTTATTCGGTGAAAATATTTGAATACGCGATAAACATATAGTTAGAATAATTTTAAAAAATCATTCGAGTGTATTGAGTGTATTGGAAATATACATATCTCGATTACTGAAAACTCTTTTTAATTTTCTTACTGAAAGACCGAATGATTTTAATACGAATTTATGTGAAACGAATTATACATAATTATGTGAAAAATATTTAATTTTGTCAAAGACTGAATGATTCTAATACGAACTTATGTGAAACGAATTATACATAATTGTGTAAATTTTTGCTCGTTTAATTTTTGCTGTAATAATCGATTAAAGTTTAAAAGAAAATTTCGAAAATAGGTAGATAATGAAATAATTATAAGATCAGCTTCTAATGTCCAACAATCGATAAAAGAATTTTTGTTTTATGTATAAAATAGTTTGGAACTATCTCTATTATAGAAAATAATTAAATCTTGTTAATTATATATACGAAGAAAAATAGAAAAATCCTTGAGAAATGCATTAACAATTTGTTCAAAATCCCAGCACTGACACACATGGACAAATTGCGAGTGTTTGGCAAGCAGATCAAGGTACTGCTGAGCAAACATCAGACAGTTCAGTTACCGAAGGAAGGTCAACCAGACGCTGGATTGACGAAAGATTATACCAATAGTCCCCTTCATCGATTCAAAAAACCAGGCTCCAAGAATTACCAGAATATCTATCCACCAAGCTCCACTCTGCATTTATCGAATATTCCGTAAGTAAATTTTTTCCAAATTTATCTCCAATTCTTTGTACTTCTACATTTGAAGTACTATATACACAGAAATATAAAATTAATACATTTTTTGAAAGTGTATATCCAATTTTTTATCATTAATTATTATAACAATTAAATAATTCAAAGTATGGTATTATATTAATGAGTAAATAAAATCCTATTTTAAAAAATATTTATGTGGGTAAATAATATTTGCCATACAATTATTATCTCGTGTATATAGTACTTAAAAAATTGTCTAAATATGTAATAGTAACTGATGTTGCATAATGTACAATATTGAAATATTTTTCAACTGTTTAGTACAACCGTAACCGAAGAGGAGATCAGGGATGCGTTCACCAAAAATGGCTTCACCGTGAAGGCATTCAAGTTCTTCCCGAAAGACAGAAAGATGGCGCTCATACAGATGCCTAGCATGGACGACGCTGTAGCTGCTTTGATCGTAAGTATCATAACAAATTTTTTACTTCTTCCATCTTTTTAAATTTTTTTCATCGGAACTTTACAAATTCATTATACTAGGAAATTCGAATTGTTGAGATTTTGATTTAATACCTAAAATTTCTAGTGCATTCTAGCATTAATTAACAGGTCTAATTTGGAACTTGTAGTATTAATAATAATATTAATAATACTACTAAATTTCTGCAAGTTTCATATAATTGATATAATTTTTGAATTTGTTCTTGTATAAATTATTAATAACGGGGAGTAAAAGAGATTAATATGTTATTATAAAATTGTGACAAATCTAAACTGGTACTTAGTTAACGAAGAACAATTTTTAGAACTTTTCGTATAATTTTTACATCGAATTTTAAGATCGCTATCGAGGATTATATTAATAATTACCGGAATTTGAAGCTTTGAAAGTTGATTAATTTAATAGTTCGCTCGAGTGTATTTGCGTTTCTCGTTTTGTTTTGCATTGAATCGTCGTTGATGAGGTTGCTTGTGAATGTATAACGCGTTTGTTATTTACCAGGTGAAAATTCATCACAGGCGTAATTAGTTTAGTCACTGGCGCCTAGTGTTGTTTGCATCTGATGCAATTGGGCGAAATTATAAATAACAAATCCGCGTTACGTCTGCGCGAAATTATGACGTTTTACAGCTCGTTATAAAATAATAAATTGTTCATCCATGTATTCCGGTTCATTCGTGTCTGTTTTCGATTTTATTTTAACCAGAGCGGATACTTATTATAAAATTTAATGCCACTGATACCTTTAGTTCTTCTATTAATGTTAATATATTGCATGAAAGTATTATCATATGAATATAGCGAATGTGAAATGCTTCGTTTCATTATCCAATGAAATAGAAAGCATATTGTGAAGGTAAAAATTTACTTTATTACTATTATATTTAAATTATTATTTCCATGAAACACGGATGAAAATATTCAGGGTATGGAAGGTTTAAGCTGAAACATTGAATAATTTCAATTCCCATAAAACAAATTTGCATGTTCTTTAAATCGAGGTATAAAATTAACCAAAAATCAAGACACTAATTTCACAAAATAATTCATTTAAATATATAATAAAAGGAAATATAAGAAAGTTGTATCCAGATTTAAGAATAAAATGGAAAATTATATTATATTGAATATCTTTCTCTAAAGGATTGCCAAAGTATTCTAATATAATTATACATAAATCGTTAATAGTAATGTGAATACTATATTTCAGCATATAACCATTTTCATTAATACTAGCTAACTGAGAGCCAGGAATACTTAGCCTAACTTTTACATCCTTCTTTAATTTATTTCTAAATATTACCAATATTTTATTTTACCACACGAATTATATGTCATTTATTCTAGAAAAGTAAAATGTTTTTCCACTCATGTTTATGATTTCAAAACATTCATGCATAGGAATTAATCGAGTCTTATTTATCTTATTTATCTTGAATAGACTTTTTATCCTATCCCACTTATTAATTAGTTCGAGTCCTATCTACTTACCAGTATCCTCTTACATACACACATCCTTATACCCCGAAACCCGGTCACCAATCTAATCACAATTTCCCATCTCTTCCAGAAAATGCACAACTACCAGCTGAGCGAGTCCAATCACCTGAGGGTGTCATTTTCGAAGAGCAACATCTAACAAGAGTCACAATTAAGCAACCGGCAGTGGTACCAGCCCTACGTCCTAGTCCCCTTTTGGATACCCGGCTCAGTGTACGACTGATGATGATAACAGTGACGACGATGATCCTCGCCGACGGGTGCGGTCAGTCGCTGGTCCATTCCCGCGACGCCATTGGCTGGCCACCCTCTGGATCTTGCCTGGGAAACGAAAGAAAGAAGCTTCCCTCGGAAGCGGACACTCAAAACGCACACGAGCATGATCGTGTGTGGTCCATTTCTATTTTTCTCGACAGACCGTCTTAAGACCATTTCGAACAGCGTACAGACAGACACGATTATTCTTCATACATATACATGTACACACCCTAACAGATACACACATGGACACGCATAGAAAGTTAAATAACAAAAAAAAAACAAAAAAAACAAAAAAATAACACGAGGACGAAAAAGGATTAGGGCTGCGAAACAGCGAATGGGAGGGTTGTTTGACGAGAACATTACGTAAACACTGTGGTGGCTTTCGCGAAGCCAGAGAGAAAGAAAGCCAGGATCGATTCATAGAGAGAAAAAGAGAGAGGAGAGACACGGGAAGTGTGTGTTTTGCGTGATAGGAACATGTTATTCACGAAGGGAGGAGGGAGAGACTAGGTTTTTAACGAAAAAGAAACGGAGGGGCTCGGTGAGGAGTAACGGGAAGGGCCCCCTGGGCTCTTGTACAGAGTTAAGAACATTTTTCGAGCATTAAGGTATATTCTATATACACATAAATCTATATATATGATATATTTTACAAGGGTGGCGCGCTATGGCGACGAGCTGCGCGTGTTACACGCCCCACAGACAGCCGTACACGCGCACGCAGGATCCGCGTGTGTGGGCAAACAGAAAAAAAAAATCGCGTTCAGTATATATATATATAAATATTATATCACACATACTTTTTAATCGTCGCGAGAATCTGTCTCGAACGCGCTGAAACAAAAAGCTTCGTCGATGAATGGAACCGAAAAACAAAAATGAAAAAAAAAAAAATGATGGATAAGGAAGCATGGTCGAGCAGCAGCGAGGACGAGGATCGACTTTGAAAGTAGCTCGCGTACCAAGCCAGATTAGTCGTTAAGGCTAATTGTCACGGGACCCTTTGCAGCTTTCGCGAGGTGCTACACTCGCGCCCTCTGCCCCGAGGCCGATCCAATCGCGAGCCGATTTGTCGGATCGATTTAGGGACAGGGGACGATTTTTTCTCGATGTCTCCTCCGCCACGTGTCGCCGTCCACGCGGCCCAGGCACGATCAACCACCCCCCCCCCCTTGTTTCGTTATAATTTTTCTAAAAAAAGGAAGATAAATGAAAACAGAATCCTTTTCAGTATTCAGTATCCAGGGAGAGCTGGATTCGAGCGTGCGCACGCGTACATCGGTCGGGCTGGCTCGCGACGCGACTGCCCCCACGTGGCGGAGCGGCGCACTGTCGTTGCAGGTGGTATTTTTATAATTTGTATGTTCGGCGATAATAAGTATTAATCACTCACGTGAACACGTAAATACATACAGAAACACGTAAACACGATTACACTCACGCTTGTACGCGATGGCTCGCGTTCATAAACACATACACGGTATACACTTATGAACACACACACACTATAGATACACAGAAACACAGAGACATTAAGACGCAGGTTTCTTAGCTGATAGGTGCTTAGGATTGCGTAGATTCTTAATCGTATAAGTAAGGCTGAGGAGGAAGCAAACGCGCCGTCGCCAAGTATCATTGACGAGGGTTGGAAGAAGGACCGTTGAACATATCGCTAATTAGAGAGGCACGCGCACGCGTTTCGCGAGCTGGTATATTTTCGCTGGTTCGGGATTGCTCCGGCAGAGAGCGGTTCCATCGCGCGACGAACCGCGATTCTTCGACTCCGTAAAGGGGGAAATAAAAAATAAAAATGAAAAAAAAGGATACAGAGTGATAGTAGAGCGAGCTCGTCGCGTGGTTCAGGCTCGTTTAGGTCCGGTCGACGATTAGTTCCTGATCACCGAGCATTCCTTTTTGAAGAAACGCGCCCGCAGGCGACGTAGAACGAACCGATCTGACCAGAGAGCACCAGAGAGAGGGGCATCTTTTTCGTAGGGCTGGTCTGTTGTGTTGTTAAGATGCGCTGGTGTCGTGTAAGATAATAAGATTATAAATCACACACGTATACACAGACACACTTACACAGAAACGCTATAACGGTATACACCTATGTAGCCTATAGTCCGCAGAGCGTAACAAATAAATATCGTAGAGGTATCACGAGGAGAGAGGCTCGAAAGGGGAGAGAGAACGATGAGTCCTGATTAATTGCCACGACTCACCCGTATATACACAGAGACACAAAAAAGAGAAATACACATACACACGGTCACATAAATGAGAAGATCAGAGAGTGGCGCGTGATAGCGTTCGCGAGATCAAATCCTCGTGTCAAGAAGCGAAGATTATCAGTAGTGTCGTAGAGTCGTGATAAAAGGTTGGGTCAGGGTGAGCTGAGTGATTGCGGCGCCACTGGTCAACGTTGGAACATTCTCGAAGCCTCATCATGGCGTCACCCCAGGGGCGTCGCAACGTGCCCCCAGGCCCCGTCGATTTTTGTCTAACCGACGTTCTGTTGGAGTCAATTAAATCTTATTAATATACGTATATCAACCGTAGACAGGTAGCGAGAGAGAGCGAGCGAGCGAGCGAAAGAGAGAGAAAGCAAGAGAGAAACAGTGTGTGAAAGAAGAGAGATGTGGTGAACGACGTGACTGGCTGATAGAACGAGTGGGAGAGCTTGTTCCGCGCGTGTGATTGTTCCAAAAGCGGCTGGAGTGAGTGTGGCGAACGAAGCATGATGAAAAAACGAGAAAACTACAAAAAAATATATATTACAAAGCGAGTGCCGGCCCGGGCAGTGTTGTTTGTGCCAAAGTAGGCTAGCCGTTGACTCTAGGGATGGATCTCTCGACGAGCCAGCAGATGTTCCTTACGATCGAACGTCGATCCTACGCCTTTGAAGGATCTGTGTAGCCGCGAAAGATTTTCTCGAATCTTCGTGTTGTAAGCGTTTTAAAGCTTCCTGCCCGTAATTGGAAGGCGTTGGATGAGGTTCGTGGAGAGGAAGAATTTGACCAATCAAGTAGAGACGTAGCGAGTAGCCGGCATGAGCGAAGGGGCCAGTCTTTGCATCTATTATGATCTGTCTTTCGAATCTCTGATGTATTTACATTGTTTAATCCGACGACTGCATTTATAGATCCTATTCTGAACGCGTCTGGACTCGTTACGCGTCGACGACACACTGGCTATACACCAATACACGTTAGATTTTAGGTTTCATAGGATTTCGGTTCGGTATGTTCCTTTGTCTGATTGTTGGCTTCTCGGAACAGGCTTGGTTCCGGTGTTCGATTCTGTGCTGATGTTCGATAGGATACTAACGACGAAGAAATATTAATAAACTATTAATTCAGATTTATTGAAATTAAATTTTGATTTAATTCCATTTCGAAAGTTGAATATTTTATTAGAATTTAATAGATAGGAAAAAGCATTCCCCGTTATGAAAGTGACTAATAAAGAGGGGAAAGAAAAGTGTTACGAGAGCTGGTTAAATTATAAATTTATTTCTTCTCGACATAAATGTATCGTAGGTAATAATTAATTATTTTTTTATTTCTATAAAAATATCATTCATAAACCTTACGCAAATTTTTGTGTCGAATTGGGGAAAGCGATAAAGAGTTACATAAAAATATGAAATAACGAAATTACTTTTAAAACAGTTTGTCGAATTTCAAACCGAGATATCAAACCGAAAAATTTAATTTCATTTTATAATTTTTATTTTATGACAATTTTTATTCGTTGATATAGCACTATTTTCAGAGAATGAGAAAAATTCTCGGAATTAACACAGTAGTGTTAAATTTTATACAATACAACGGGTTGAAGAATAATTTTGTTTACCCCGCTATTAACAGAATTTTAATCAAATTTATCACTAGAAATTTTTTATTTGTTTCAATAATCTTTAGTATCCACTCGAATGTCAGCTTCGCTCTTAAGTTGCCTCGCAGCTTCAGCATGCGTTCATCGTTTTCTTCGAGTATGTAAAACCCAAAAGGCTAAACCCGTAACATATAAAAAGAGGAAAAAACAGGCTCTTTCAATCGACTCGCGGCTGGTCCAGTCGCGAGCGCACAAAACTGTCGGTCCTGCGGATGTTCCCGCGCGAAGCAAGCGATCGAGGACCTGGCGCACAATAGTATTTCCGGCACAATGTCTGCAAGCGTACCTGAAAAGCCTGTAAACGAGTCGCTGCAGCGACGGGGAAAATTTTCCAGAGAAAAGTGCTAATAATGATAAAAAAATCTCCGTCGTTAGCGTCGCATTCTGCGTTCATTTTACTGGCGTTCTCCAGGAATTTCCGGACACATTCCCGTTCAAACGCGCTCACACAGGCACACGTACATATTACACATACAGATACACGTTATATACACTGAACACATCAGTGGTTTGCAATGAACGAGTTCGAATCGAATTATTTCGCAGATCTATGATTTTCCGGGTGCTTTCTCATCCTATGTTTGAAGAGGTTTGATCTCGTTTGACGATGTTTGAAGCATGGTTTGAACTCGTTTAGCGCGAACCCACTCGCGACAGTTACTCCATCGCCAATAAAACTCGTTCACTCATACCTTCCGGACCTTGAAGGGACGCGATGACAATGATTTCCTCGTTTTTCATCCGGTTTCTCCGAAATCAAAGGGGGGAATTTCTGTTTTAGGGGACAGTAGTAGAAGCTTTAAGAGATCGCATTGAATTCGGTGAGCGAAACTGGGCAACCGCTTACGGTTGCAGATATCTACAGGGTGTCCATATTGAGTCGCATAACCTCTTTCCAATTTTACTTTTCTAGCTTTGTTTATAACTAATTCTGCGTTCGTTGTTCAAATTTAGCTCTTCACGTTTCGAGATAAACCGTGTCTTAACGATTCTTGATATGATCCAGTTACGGTTTAGATTTTGATTCCAGTTCGGGTTTTCTTATGTTTGCAAGAAGTTTGGAAGTTAGCAGAGGTTGTAAACAGTTAGTTATTTTCTCAATGGACACACTCACCCTGTGGAGAGTTCAGAAACGGAGTATATCACTAGCTGGGTTGAGGGGGGCCGAGGTGAGGGTTGGGATAGCCAGCACTCGCTACATGGTGTCGCAGATATTCAGGCTCCGAAATTTCTTCAGACCAAGTTGAAATAAAAATGAAGATGTATAAAATGAAACAAAGCCCGTTTGCGAAATTCTAGATGAATCGTTTAAATATATTGTGTATACAGATTATTCGACGCGTGTTCGCCCGCGACTTCCTCATATAGACGACGTATTTTTATATGATAGAAAATGAGAAACAGAGAGATAGAAATGAAAGAGACCAAATAGGACGATGATGATCTCGTTGGAGATCGATCGAGATGAAAGTTTGATGCGGTTGCGTAATGTTTGAAGAGATCCCGGCTGACTGTGCATCCTGCATTCTCCTTCTACTTTTTAAACCCTTTGAACATGGTAATGTAAATGGAAAATAATACAAAGGGTGGTTCTTGGGGTGGAGGTTCAAATGTTATTTAAAGTATTCTATTTTTTAGTTTTTACTCTCATAAATTAATCGGATTTCGATTATTGGCGAATTGTCCAAGTTTAATGAAAACTAGAATATTAAAAAATTCGTATTAAAGAAATATAGTTATTAGAAATATGTATAATATGCCTGGAAATCAACAAAATATTCAAACTACATAATACTGTA